TCCCATCCATTCAAGAATTTAGATATTTTTCATTCTTTTAAATAAATAATAAATAAAGAAATCAAATTACAAAAACTTGACCCACAAAGACAATACTCACCACCAACTTCTTTGCTTAATATCTCTCCTTTCCCCCAATTCTATAAGAAAACATGGACTTTATTTATTTATTTTTTTTTATTTTTTCCATATTATATTATTTATTGATGGGACCCAACACCAAATTCAAGTCATTGAATACTTCGATCTTTATGCAATGCGAGAAAGGGTAAAAGGGAGCTTGATTGATCAAAAAGATGGTATGATTTGCCATTTTCACCTACTAACCAAGCTTATCAACTGATTGATCATCGTCTGCGGCAGCTATTCGTCCAGAGCCACGACCACCGTTCATCTTCCCGAAAGCAGTCATCGACGACAACCCTTTCAAGCTGCTACTATCACCCTCACTCAAGTTCACACCCTTCCTTCCCTTTCTCAGCTTGGATGAGCTATTAGTTTCATGATCATCAACTTCCTCCATTGTTTTCGTCTTGGCGACGACCAAACGAATAATGTTGCTTCGGCAAAACGGGCAAACTGGGGGCGTTACGCAGGCTGTGGATGGATTTGGCTTGCTGTGGCAGCAAAGGGAAAGGGTGCATTGAGCACACATGACATGCCCACAGCTTTGAACTTCAATTGTGGGAGCTTGTTCAAAGCAAATGGTGCATAGCTCTGTATCTCCATCACTGATCTGCAAGAAGCATAGCAAGCAAAGCAATGCTAATAATTGTTCAAAAGCTCAGTAAGTGAAGAGAACTGATAATTGAAGGTGCAGATAATGGGACCATTCATCACGTGTCTCCTAAGAGTCTAAGTTGAAAAAGCTCTCCAAGAAACAAATGAGAAGTCTACATTACATCAGAGATGCTTTCAGAAATAAAGTGAATGCTGCCAAATTGGGAAAGCAATGCCACTAATAGTGACAAGTAGATGGGGAGTTCCAAAAGCTTCAAAACCATAACAATCAATCACCATAAAAACTTTGAATCATGATACTTACTCGAAAATTTTCGATTTAAACTCAACTTTATAGTGCGAATCAAAGATATAGCCCACGACGTTTCGAATCTACTCTAAAAGTTAAAATCTACTCTAAAAGTTAAAGGAATTCTTGATTACCTCAGACAAATTGTCAATCACTGTATCAGGAGTTGCCTTCAAGATGCTCTTCTCCCTCTCCCTGTTGGCCTCCATTAATGCCTGTTCTAATAAAGCCTTTGCTTCTTGATGAAGCTCATTGATAAACTTCAAGGGTGATGGCCAAACAAGTGGCTCAGTGGATGAAGGATTCAGCAAGGCTGCACAGGTTCCATGTCTGTGCTTCATAGCAATTACATAAGGAATTCTCCTGTAAACAGAGAGAAAGACACATTAATTAGCTTAATCTGTAACGGCCAAGCCCACCGCTAACAGATATTGTCCTATTTGGACTTTTCCTTTCGGGTTTTCCCTCAAGGCTTTAAAACGTGTCTGCTAGAGAAAGGTTTCGACCCTTTATATAAGGGTGTTTCGTTGATTATGTGCAGCTAAAACAAGGTTATGATGTAAATTGGTATTTTGATGATACCCAGTGGAATCTCTCTGAAGGCGATCGGCCCCCCAAGCCAACAACTCCCTGATGCAATCCAAGGACCCTCCACGAGCTGCTAAATGAAGGGGTGTGCTTCCTTGGCATCTGTTCATAGAATTTTTTTTCTTTTCAAATCCATCTTTACACGAAAGGAAGCTAAAAAACTACTTGATTTAGAAAAATACCCATAGCCACCAGTTGAAGCACTAACAAGACCTCCATTATCCAACAGAATATGAATGCATTCAGGTCGTCTTTGACGAGCTGCCAAATGCAAAGGGGTTGCTCCCTTGCCATCTCTAATATTCACAAATCGTACAAATCCCCTATTTCACAATAAGTTAATCGATGAGTTCACCTGAACAGCTAATGGGTACTTGTTAAAGAGATGAACAAATACCAAGAAGCAGAAACAGAGCTTGATTGAGCAGCAGAAAGAATGGCTTCTAAGCAATCAAAATGGCCATAATGAGCAGCATAATGCAAGCAAGTCCGCCCGTGAAGGGAGTCAAACTTTAAAATCTGAGAAGATTCATATCCAAATTAGTGTTTCGAATCAAGCTTTTGTAAACAGCAAAAGAAATGGGAATTTATACATTTGCTCCAACTTCAAGGAGCTTCTTCACACAGGAGATCTTTCCATGCATTGCTGCCAACATGAGCGGAGTCTGAAAGAAACGTTCGCATTGAAGAATCAAAATCCACTGAGAACCGAGAAGAAATCATTTGAAAGTAACTGAAAAATTCAAATTAGAATAAGAAACCCTACCTGCTTGTGACGATTCAACAAATCCGGATTGGAAAATCGTTCCAAAAGCAAAGAGAGGATCTAATAAGGATAAAACAAAACACACAAAAAACAGAGTTCTCATCAGAAACAGCCCAATCAACCACACTCAAACAAAAAACCATAACGAAACAAAATCAAACGAAATCGAAATCAAACAACAAGAAAAACACAAGAACATACCTCGATCTGGCCATTAGCAGCGGCAATATGAAGCGGAGATTGACGATCATAGAGAGTGGTATTATGCAACAGAGACGGTTCGTTCTTCAGCAAAACTTGAACGATTTCCAAATCTCCACACTGGACAGCACTAAACAATCCATTCTCATGACTCGCACTGCAACTCAGCCCCTGACCCATGTTCTTCCTCTGTTGAAATCGCTCAGTAGAGAGCAGAAGCAACTCAGCAGAGCTCCCTGCCGCAGCCTCTGACCTCCATTAAAGACGCCCTTCGATCAGAAATTGAGGCCACTGCCACAGAATACGAAGAGGTCCATCAGGTCCATCACTATATACAATCGGGTCCCAAAAGGGGGAAATGGAGAAGCCTGAAATCGGGAAAACAGAGAGAAGCTGAACGTGCCAGTACGGAAAGTTGTAACGCTGACTGCGGGCAGAGATCGGATATTTTTCGGGCAGTTAGATTCCTAATGTTGCGCGATTGACCAACAAGTCATACACTAATGTTCATTAATTAATTTGTTTAGGGAATAAATGTTCATTAATTAATTTCTCGAAAACTTCTTTTTCTTTTTAATTTTAGTAATTTGTTTTATTAAATCACTTGATGCTGTTTTTAATTCCATTTAAATAATAATTTTAGTAATTTAAGAATATATTTTTATTATTTTATTTTTCGACGTAATATAATGTGACTTCTTTTAATTCAATAAATATATATCTTTAATATACGCTCAAATTGACAACTATTAAATACAGTTTGTTTATTGTCCGCTTTGACCCATTATGTATCGTCGTTAGCCTCATAGTTTTAAAGCACATAGAGAGAGGTTTCCACACCTTTATAAGGAATGATTTGTTCTCTCTCTAACGGGTATGGTATCTCACAATCCGCTCTAAAGATTCACTGTCTTCGTTGGCACATCGCTCGGTGTCTAGCTTTGATACCATTTGTAACAATTCAAGCCCACCACTAATACATATTATCTACTTTGACACGTTACGTATCACTGTCAGCCTCACAGTTTTAAAACGTGTCTACTAGAGAGAGGTTTCTACACCCTTATAAAAAATGGTTTGTTACTCTCTCCAACCAAGGTGGGATCTCACAATTTAACTCATCAATAATTAACGTATACATTTTCCTTGAAGATTCAAAGATTCAAATCAACCAAGTAGTAAGTTGAGCGAAGCTACACTACATTTAATTCCCAATCACAAACAGTTCGACAGTAGCAACAGCTCAAAATATATGAATATAGCAGAGTAGGGATATAAGCCTAGAGCCTATAAAATTCGCTTTTTATCTTAATTTAAGTCTTTAATGATGGCATTTAATTTTTCTGATTCCCTTCCCTACTTCCAACACCCGAAGTCTTCTCTCCCTCCTGCTATAAATTGGAGGAGATTATAGAGCCTGATAATGAGGTTTAAGTAAAGGAAACATTGATTAAGAGAGATAATAACATTTGATAATGAGGTCTAAGTAAAGCAAACACAATGTCTCTTTTAATTTTTTACTCTCTTAAAGTATCCAACTTTTTGCTGTGTTCTTCAGAAATAACATTATGTTATCATCATTTTTGTCTCCTTCTACATCTTTTTCTTTTCCTGATCTCCTTGTAATCGCATACTTAGCCCCCGAATTATTTTGTTAATCTCATGTTATTACTCTCTAACACAATTAGTTCGGTGAGATTCCACATCGATTGAAGAGGGGAACAAAAAATTACTTATAAGAGTGTGGAAACCTCTCCCTAGTAGACGCGTTTGAAACCGTGAGGCTGACAGCAATACATAACGGGTCAAAGCAGACAATCTCTACTAGTGGTGGGCTTGATTTGTTACAAATGGTATCAAAACTAGATATTGGGCGATGTGCTAGCAAGGACGTTGGGCCCCCAAACGGGAGTAGATTGTGAGCTCCTACATCGGTTGCGGAGGGGAACGAAGCATTTCTTATAAGGGTGTAGAAACCTCTCCCTAGTAGACGCGTTTTAAAACCGTAAGACTGACGACGATACATAACGGGTCAAAGCGAACAATATCTATTAGCGGTGGGCTTGAGCTATTACAAGCTCACTTGCTAATCTCTATCCTAATTGCCCATTTCCACCGCCATTAGATATTGGATGACTCCCCTAATCTCTTCCTCAGACCAACTAATCTGAAAAGATAACGTATATTCTTCATTTTCTTATGCAGGTCATCTCCTTACATAGATACCAAATAACAAAAATTACAAGAGAATAAACAAGGAGAGAGATGAATTAACCTGGATACTTCAGTGAATTTGATTTCCTTTGTTAGTGTGAGATAGAAAGTTGCTCCTTTGATTTCGAAGCTGGGTCTAGGCTAATCAAACTACAAAGTTTGGAACTGATTAGAGTGGTTATGAGCAAGTACAGAGCAAAATATGATCAATATTTCCTTTCCTATACATATATTTTAAGAATATACAAGATTCGAGTCCATTAGAGCATAGTCATTAAAGGCACCTATAATATTTTTAGAGGTCAAAGGCTCACTCATCCACTCCACATTTGTTGTGTTAAAAAATATACAAGTTAAGAGCATGGATAATTACTGAAACCAGTAAAAACTCATTGCCGAAGAATGCCAAGGTCAATACTCAAACACTAGTCTCAACGTTTTGACGCCATAAACTCCTTCAAATTCTGTAAAACTCCTTTGTCATATGGGTTTTTGAACCTCACTTCACTGGACCTTTCGCCTGCAGACCACCGAGTTGCAACTAGTTGTATAAACATATATATATATTCCCATGATTAAAGTCGTAGAGAATATTTTTGCAAGGTATTCTTACCATGCGAAGACTGGATAAAAATTTGAAATTCCGGGTACCTCTTCCAGTGAATCTGAAATGGAGGTGATTCATGAGGTGAATTGAACGAATCACTAAAAGGAAAAATTTTAACAAAGCGAGACGAGATCGTAAAAATTTTAGTGCCCCGTAGCAGTTAGGAACTTACCCATTCATCTGTTCTGATATTGAAGCAGATACAATACATGTGCCACAGTAAGAACACCACCTAAGAATCGCAAAAGATCCATCACATTTCAAGTAAAACAAAATCTAGAGAGGTTTTGGATTCTTAATGTCCTGTGTCAACTGGAATTAAGCCTCCTGTATGAAATACAAATAAGCGAAAGAAATACACCTGCCATACTAATTGTAGAATGGAGAATAGCATGGTGCTGCTGGCCACTTTCCTTGAGAGACTAATCTGAACAGTTGGTTCAAGCGGTGTTAGCAGCAGTGGCACAGGTTCTAAACAATTCACATGCATGATAATACAAGTCACTACAGCGACCAAGGAAAAGAATGCAGAGACACACCTCTAGCCTAGTTCCATCGCCATCAGGAACCACAGACTGCGCTGCATCTGAAAAATCGGTTAAGTACTGTACAATGAAACTTAAGATGGGTTCAGCTAAAGATAGACTTACATTGAGATAAACACACCAAGTAAGTTGCTTCAGTCCAGAGAAATCCAATTAGTAGAACCATGAAGAGGAGATAATTTTTATGCCCTGCACTACAATCACAAGCAAGTTACGCCATTTCAGCCCAAGTGAAGATTCTAATTGACTTGAAATTACAAAATGAGACGATGCTAACCTAAGTAGATAAATTAAATAACAGTTTTTCCGATAAAAGATTTAACTAAATATTCATCATTGCCATCATGTACTATTTACCAATACAGTTTCCGAATGCAGGACAATGGTGGTCAAAGCCTTTAACATATGCTTTGCAGATCTGACAGCATCTCACCCTATCACCCAATTCAGTATCCTTGGAAGAAGAACATTAACCAAAAGTTATATCAGTCAATTACTGAAAGAAAAGAACAAGAACTTCCATGGTAACAGAAGTACCTACAACTTAAGCAATACCCATTATACTTAACATGGCCTTGATGCAGGAAACGTAGGATAATATTCAAGTTAAAGGTTAAGAACAGGATAAATTTCGCAAGTTCAAATCAGGAATCACTTAAAACAAATACAAAAACAGAAACAAGATGGGCAGGTAATATAAAATTTTGAATGATGGCAAAATATTTGTTATTTTCCTAAACATGAGAGAGAGAGAGAGAGAGAGAGAGAGAGAGAGGGAGGGAGAGAATCTACTGCTTCAGTTGAACGCCTGAGATAAGGACTACTCGTTAGAAACTCTGTTTCCTGCAGGAATAAGAGATAGATCGTTGATATTTCAAGACATTGTAACATAATAAGCTCAATTAAATTTCATCCTGATGGTAAGTGTCAATTTCTAAACTTGAACTTTGGGCAATTACATCCAAAGGGGATGGACTATATGATACCAAACCAGGATCACTGGATAACATCCTGCCATTATAAACCTGTCTGTTAGAATAAGAAATAGAACACCAGGCAAGATGAGGTAATAACATAAGATATTTCCCGTGAAAAGATGCCAATAAAACTAAGGGAACAGTGAAATATTTAAAAATCAACTACAAAACCTTGCCTCCGTTAGTCATGGAGAAAAGGAATTCTGAAGAATCAACAGAAAAGTTGGGAAACAGACCTGCAAAGGCCAAAAATGAGCAAGATTATCTGCCCATTAAACAGAAGATCCATCAAATGTGTAGCAACTGCAAAGCACACAAGATATTGTTATTTAGACTACGCAGAATAGATAGCTCTGTTATATTTCTTTTTTCGTGCAAATTCAAATACATTGGCGGGAGAGTAGAAGGAGGGTAGATTTTCTTGATGAACTGAGGAACTCTCATCCCTCAAATCCAATTGAAAGAAAACGCAATTAGGAAGGGGGGAACCCAACTAAATTCCCGCCAGTCTAATAGGAAAAAAAAAAAAAAAAAATTGAACACTAATTATCCGTTAGTCTTCGAATCTAAAGAGCAGCTTCTACTCCTAAAATGACATTTCAGCTCAAATTTACTAGTAAACTATCACGTTATTCCAAAGTTTTACGTCTTCCATCATTCAGATCAATCAAGTTCTGAAGTAGAAACATAAGAAGCAATTAGAATCTTGAGAAAAGAACCTCGTCGAACAATAGCTATGTAAACCACCCAAACAAAAAGTACACTGAAGAAAACGAACGCCGGAGCTGACGCTCGAACTCGAAGAAGCCGCCTGCACCATCCTACTGCCCCTACAACAGCTAGAAGTAATAGAGCTGCAACATCAAGACAACCTCAGTGAATGGCAACAATCAAATCAGCTTCAAGGAAGAACACAAGAAATAGAGAAATACCTGAAAGTAGAAGTTGAATGAACACGGGCAAATCGAAGAAGAACTGAGGAACTAGAAATTGACTGAATTGAGTTAGTAAAACAAGTATGAAAGAGACTACACAACGGCCGATCAGCCCCGGCCAATTCGCCGATTTCTTCCGATCAAGTAATTCAACCATTTGTTTTCAAAACAAAAATTCTTCGCACTTGATTGTGATTCGCTGAGAGAAGATGCCGATGCCGCCCGAAGAAGAAGGACAAATTGGGCTTTACATAGCATTTTGGCCCATTATTATCGGCCCATTAGCCCACTAAGCTTCAAGCAGGTAGACGCCCAAAAACATGGTACATTTACCGATCTGCACCCTACGCTATATTGAGAAAATAAATAAATAAATAACTCAAAAATGGGAATTTTGGATAATAATTAAACGTAACGTTTGCATAAATTGGAAGATAATATATTATTCTTAATTATATTATTTTTATATAATTAATTAGGGAACCAAATAGATTAAAATAAAATCACGAATGTGATGTGAGAAACTTAGATAGAAGGGTAAACTGGTAAAAAGAAAATTAGCCAAAAAAATCCACCAAAGCTTAAGTTAAAACATAGCATTGTTTAATTAATGAAATAAATAAAGTGTAAGTTATATTATTAAATCTATGGTTATAAATTTCAAAATAATGAAATAAATTAAAAATAATGCTTATAATATGAACTTTTATTTATTCTATAAAAGCAAGGAAAATTTTATTTTGATTTTTCATTAAAAAAAATTTAGTTTTAAATAAAGGGTACGGTTGGAATTAAGTTAATGTAAGAGGGATAAAGAAGACAATAAATTAATCTATAAATTCTCCGTTTAATATGGCAAATAAATTTTTTTTGTTTTATAACAATTTTCAATGTGGGATATGAATCAGGCGAATGATACTGTGACAGCTCTCGCGTCGTTGAAGGAAGCTCTGGATTCGACCAAGGAGTTGCTGAGACTTGGGAGCGAGGGGAGCAAGAATGTCTGGTGCGTTTACTCCATTCCATTGTTTGTGTGCTATCTGTGTAATTAGCGCGGTCTGTTCTGCCTTGTAATGTTGTGAATTGATGAATTTCGTTCCGATTCAGTGTTGAATCTTTAATTGTTTCGGATGTCTATTTGGCTAAGTGGAAAATGAAAAAAAAAATGATCGCAGATTATCGGCTATTGTGATTTTCAGAGCCTACTTTCACTTCCATTTGTATCGGCAACAAAACATTTTGCTTAGGCTATAAACAATGTTTCGATGGACATCTTCCGGTTCAACCACACTTTGCTGATGCCTTCAATTCGATTAGACGACGTTCGCATTGCAGCTGTTATCTCGTACTTGCACCTTGTATTAATTTACGTATGATGCTGATTACAATGTGATTCACGATTTCTCTAGATTTTACTCGTATGTACCCTCAACTTGGAATTTTGGTTTTGTGTGAGATGATATGAATTAGGTTCTGTCTAAATTTCTGCCTTTATTCTCAATTGATCATCATGATTTTGCTGAAGATTGGGAAAATGTATGTGAGACAAATCTCGGCAGCCGGTCAGATTATTTCTCCTTTTATCCTCTATATATTTTTTTTTGTTCTAATCTGTTTGTTGATTCGAACTTCAGGCCTTGGAGAAAGAGCAAAATTTGAATCAATTTCACAGGATGACAGCAAGACTAGAGAAAGCTCTGAATGAAATTTCACATGAAGATCTTGATATATCTGATGAAGTTTAGGAGCAGGTAAGGGATTTTATCATTGCGCTTTTTGTTTTTAATATCCTTGAAATGGTTTTCTAGCTGCTCTCGACTGTTGAAAGATTATAACTTAGAATCTTTATCGATTGAATTCTGTGCCATGGAAGTAGAAGCTAAGGAATTAGGGTATAGCTTCAGACTTTCTATCAAGAGACCTGATAGTTTAAAGTATTCTGAGGTTTGAATAAGCTATTAATGTTTTATACCCCTGTTTGCATATCTAAGTCTTCCTGAGTCCAGGTTGAGCTTGTTCACTCTCAATTCAAAAGAGCTAAAGGAAGGATTGATACACAAGATGCCCTGCTGTATGTTAACCTCCACTCTCTCTATAACAACAGCAAAGCGTCTGCTACTGATCCTTCTGTCTTGAAGGGATTGGCTGAGAAGTTGGAGCTAATGGATATAGCTGATCTTACTCAAGAGTCTTTCGCTTTACATGAAACGTGTGGCCTTTGCTGAAGCTGGTGCAATCCCTCCTCTTGTCGGCCTCCTTTCAACAACAGACCTCCTCACTCAAGAACAGGCTGTGACAATAATAAGAGAAGTATCATGACCTGTAGGGCAGCACCTGGCATAGTCCATGAGCTGAATTCGGGGAGTATGGAAGCACGTGAAAATGCTGCAGCCACTCTTTTCAGCCTTTCTGTTGTCGACGAATATAAAACAAGTGCTCTTTTCAACTTGTGTTTCTACCGAGGGGACAAGGTAAAGGCAGTCAGGAGTCCCAGATTGTTTCCACACTGATGCAGCTGTTGACAGAATCTAGAATAGAGATGATAGATGAGGCCCTGGAAATTTTAGCCATACTGGCCAGCAATTCTGAAGGACGTCCCCGTTTTAGTCGATTTCATTGCAACAGGATCCCCTAGGAACAGGGAGAATGCAGCTGCAGTTTTAGTGAATCTTTGTGCAGGAGACAAGCGACATCTCGTGGAAGCAAGGAAGCCCGGAGTGACTAGTTTGCTAATGATAGATTTGGCATAATATGTCACAGAGAGAGGTAAGCGGAAAGCAGCACATTTGCTCGACCAAATAAACAGGTTTACAGAGCAGTAGGAAGAGGCTAAATCACAATCTTTGTCTCGGTCTCAAACTCGGACACCCCAGTTGCTGCCACCACCTCCCACAATTGGCAACGTTGGAAGTTTTTTGAGGATTGGCAACGTTGGAAGTTTTTTGAGGATTGTTGGGATGGAGTCCCAAGTTAGCTCATTAAGAGGATGATCATGAGTTTATAACTAAGGAATACATATCCATTGGTACGAGACCTTTTTGGAAAACAAAAACCAAACCCACGAGAGCTTATAGTCAAAGTTGACAATATCATATCATTGTGAAGATTCGTGGTCCATAACATGGTATTAGAGTCATGCACTTAATTTAACCATACTAATCGAATCTTCAAGTGTCGAACAAAGAAGTTGCTAGTCTCAAAGGTGTAGTCAAAAGTGACTCAATCCGAACAAATAGTGTATTTTGTTTGAAGACTCTAGAGAAAAAAGTCAATCCTCAAGTAAGGGAAGGTTGTTTGAGGGCTTCATAAGCGTTAGAGGAGGCTCTATCGTGTTGAACATTGTTGAGAGAGAGTCTCACATTAGTTATTAAGGAGATGATCATAAGTTTATAAGTAAGGAATATAGCAATATGATACCACTTCTTTGGAGGTTCATGGGTGGTAACAAAGCTGACGGGGTTTTTTCTTTCTCTGTCATTATACACATGGAAGAAAAGGTAGTCTAGTTGTTGATGGGCAGTTTGAAAGTGGAGAAAAGCACATAAAATTCTGTGCCATAATTGGTGTTGATTGGGGGTGGTGGTGTGTGTAGTTTGAGTCTGCGTGCTATCCTTAGTTTTGGCTGTCACCCATTTCTATACACACTCTCTCTTCTCTTCTATACTCTGCCACCCTCCCTAGTCCCTTCTCTTTACTTTCTTTTACCTTCCCACTTTATTCCCTTCCTTTGTCTTCCCACCTTTTCTTCTTTTCTTTTCTGCTCTTTGGAACACCACTTCCAATTCCTACACACACATTAGAGTATATAATGGAATAACTAACCATTAATACATCGTCCTCATCAAACTTAGGGAGAGGCTGTCTTCTATGCTCAACGAAAATGAGAGACGAAATAAGGAGAGTTTTTTTCAGTTAGATTAAATGGGACTAGAGATAATATTATATTCCCGTCTCCAACCGGACCTCTCCCAAATCCTCATCCTACCTTACTTTTTATTTTTATATTTAAATATATAACAAAGCACAAAATTAACTTTGATATATATATATATATATATCCTTTCGGGCCTATTACTTCTTTCACTAGGTAAATAGAATAGTGTTGAACTCGGTCCCACTGCTTGCTTTTGGCCCCTCTCCTCCGTCTTCTCCTTTGTCTCACTGCTTGGCACCCCGTCCCTGAAACGCTATTCCCTGACCCTATGTTACCTTATCCATTCAAATCCTGAACCGGAACAAAACAGGAGAGGAGAGTGAATTCATTCAATCCAGTACCAGTAAACGAAGAGAAAGAAAGAGAAACTGATGAACCTGTCCCTTCTTCTATTACCTCCCCTGGTTGAACTGTAAACAAAGACTTCACCTTAAACCAAGACTATTCTTCTTTGACTCTATTACTTGAGCTACTTCACCGGAACTTTTTATATATATATATTATTTCTTTACTTAATATATAAATAATTTTTTTTTTTATGGGATGGTAATATTGAAATTTTATATTTTAGAAGCTATGGTGAATATTATATTATATTTTTATTTGTGAAATATTAATGGATTTATTATGATGTTTTATATTATTTAATATAAATTATTTTAAAAGATATAAATCGTTAATTATTTCAAATGAATATTATGTGGGTAGGTATGTGTATACACTTATGTGAACTTGATCTTCACATATTAATTTTAAGAATCTCCAGTCTAATCTCTATGAAAATAAATGAAATTTTTTGCAAAGATGAAGATTGAAATAGGTGACGAAAACAGAGACGAAGAAGGTTTACCCCGTAGACATCTCTACTTACGCATCAAAATAACCCAATGCAAAGATTCAAATCTCCGATTCATGATCGCATGGTCATGTTTGGTAACCAACTTAAAAGAGTTTATATTAGTAACTATTGTATTCAAAGAATAAAATGCTTACTAAATTCTCTTACTCTCAAGAACCATTGCCAGATTTTCATCTCTTAATGGTAAAGCTGTAAAATTGATGATGAAAAAGTGGGGTAAAAGGAGACTTATTTTCTTTACCCATCAATATTGTTATATGGGAACCACCGTTAAAGACTAAAAAAGCATTCACCACAACTTTCTCGCACTTCAATTTTTCTCACTCTCTCCGGCATTTAATTGTGTTAGTAAGGGACACATATTCTTAGTCAAAAGGGGATTGATTCTTAGTCAAAAGGGGATTGATTCCGTAAAAGATGAGATCGGTAAATAGAAATTAGCTGAAATTTTATTTTTGTAAGAGTTACTTCGACGGTATCTTTGAAGTTTTTGAAAGTTTAAGGATATTGATGAAACGAAACTCTACTATTTTCTATCGAAACCTTGACGGTAAAGATATTTTTAAACTTTTTTTTAAAACGTGAGGCATATCATAAAGACCCATGAACCTATTTTTTCATAACATATGATATAACAAAACAAATAATTTGATACCCAAAGAAAAAGGAGGGGGTTTTCTTAAAATAAGAACACGACAAACCAAATTTAGAACATCACGATATTGACTCTCTACATTTATTTTTGTTTTTTTTAAGGTTACATTAACATAAATTCTTACAAAAGATGGCTGCTTGAAGATGAACTGATAGCTGATAAATCCGTCCATGAATTTTGATGATCACATCCCCAAAAGTGGCTGTTTTGATCCGCTGGTCGTAGGAAGTTCGATAAAATTCCTTGTTCTTGTTCTTGTTCTTTGTTTTTCATCGGAATCCTAAAAAAGGGTGTCGAATTCTGAATTTGTTGGTGGCAACCGAAGTTGTCGACTTCGGTTTGAAGGTTTTGTGGGTAAGCAGCGGCGGGAGTTGGTGGTTCGAGTCCGGCAATGATGAACGGCAGTTGTTGCTGAGAACGCTGCCATTGCTCCGATTCCCTGCCGGAATTTGTGTTTCCGATGTGAATTCCGGCGAAGTTTAGGGCTGAGTTGTTTGCTCCAAAGCGAGAGAGAGATGGAATTGAAGGTAATTGAAAAGATTGTGATGGGAAATGGCTCTCAATTGTTCTTGAATTTCCTTAAATAAATAATTCAAAAACATTTTTTTAATTCAAAATTCAAAAAATTTAAATCAAAAGAGATGAATTTGACACTTACCCATTTCAATTTGAGTAGCAATTGGAGACTTAGATCGGTTAGATTTCTTCTTCTTCTTGTTCTTACGAAACCCTCCACCGACCGGCACATTTCTAAGAGCGCCGCCGCGCGTCCAGTACCGCCGGCAGGTTTTACAAAAGTGTCTCGGCTGAGTAAGGCTGTAATTATTGAAATAACAGAATTTGGTGTTTGTAGAATCACAACGTGGGCATTTTAGTGCCATCTCCGGCTGTGGTACCATCGCCAATCTCGCTCGGTACGCCATAGAACCCGGTCGGGCTCCGCTGCCACGAGCCGCGGTAGGCTGAGGTNATATATATATATATATATATCCTTTCGGGCCTATTACTTCTTTCACTAGGTAAATAGAATAGTGTTGAACTCGGTCCCACTGCTTGCTTTTGGCCCCTCTCCTCCGTCTTCTCCTTTGTCTCACTGCTTGGCACCCCGTCCCTGAAACGCTATTCCCTGACCCTATGTTACCTTATCCATTCAAATCCTGAACCGGAACAAAACAGGAGAGGAGAGTGAATTCATTCAATCCAGTACCAGTAAACGAAGAGAAAGAAAGAGAAACTGATGAACCTGTCCCTTCTTCTATTACCTCCCCTGGTTGAACTGTAAACAAAGACTTCACCTTAAACCAAGACTATTCTTCTTTGACTCTATTACTTGAGCTACTTCACCGGAACTTTTTATATATATATATTATTTCTTTACTTAATATATAAATAATTTTTTTTTTTATGGGATGGTAATATTGAAATTTTATATTTTAGAAGCTATGGTGAATATTATATTATATTTTTATTTGTGAAATATTAATGGATTTATTATGATGTTTTATATTATTTAATATAAATTATTTTAAAAGATATAAATCGTTAATTATTTCAAATGAATATTATGTGGGTAGGTATGTGTATACACTTATGTGAACTTGATCTTCACATATTAATTTTAAGAATCTCCAGTCTAATCTCTATGAAAATAAATGAAATTTTTTGCAAAGATGAAGATTGAAATAGGTGACGAAAACAGAGACGAAGAAGGTTTACCCCGTAGACATCTCTACTTACGCATCAAAATAACCCAATGCAAAGATTCAAATCTCCGATTCATGATCGCATGGTCATGTTTGGTAACCAACTTAAAAGAGTTTATATTAGTAACTATTGTATTCAAAGAATAAAATGCTTACTAAATTCTCTTACTCTCAAGAACCATTGCCAGATTTTCATCTCTTAATGGTAAAGCTGTAAAATTGATGATGAAAAAGTGGGGTAAAAGGAGACTTATTTTCTTTACCCATCAATATTGTTATATGGGAACCACCGTTAAAGACTAAAAAAGCATTCACCACAACTTTCTCGCACTTCAATTTTTCTCACTCTCTCCGGCATTTAATTGTGTTAGTAAGGGACACATATTCTTAGTCAAAAGGGGATTGATTCTTAGTCAAAAGGGGATTGATTCCGTAAAAGATGAGATCGGTAAATAGAAATTAGCTGAAATTTTATTTTTGTAAGAGTTACTTCGACGGTATCTTTGAAGTTTTTGAAAGTTTAAGGATATTGATGAAACGAAACTCTACTATTTTCTATCGAAACCTTGACGGTAAAGATATTTTTAAACTTTTTTTTAAAACGTGAGGCATATCATAAAGACCCATGAACCTATTTTTTCATAACATATGATATAACAAAACAAATAATTTGATACCCAAAGAAAAAGGAGGGGGTTTTCTTAAAATAAGAACACGACAAACCAAATTTAGAACATCACGATATTGACTCTCTACATTTATTTTTGTTTTTTTTAAGGTTACATTAACATAAATTCTTACAAAAGATGGCTGCTTGAAGATGAACTGATAGCTGATAAATCCGTCCATGAATTTTGATGATCACATCCCCAAAAGTGGCTGTTTTGATCCGCTGGTCGTAGGAAGTTCGATAAAATTCCTTGTTCTTGTTCTTGTTCTTTGTTTTTCATCGGAATCCTAAAAAAGGGTGTCGAATTCTGAATTTGTTGGTGGCAACCGAAGTTGTCGACTTCGGTTTGAAGGTTTTGTGGGTAAGCAGCGGCGGGAGTTGGTGGTTCGAGTCCGGCAATGATGAACGGCAGTTGTTGCTGAGAACGCTGCCATTGCTCCGATTCCCTGCCGGAATTTGTGTTTCCGATGTGAATTCCGGCGAAGTTTAGGGCTGAGTTGTTTGCTCCAAAGCGAGAGAGAGATGGAATTGAAGGTAATTGAAAAGATTGTGATGGGAAATGGCTCTCAATTGTTCTTGAATTTCCTTAAATAAATAATTCAAAAACATTTTTTTAATTCAAAATTCAAAAAATTTAAATCAAAAGAGATGAATTTGACACTTACCCATTTCAATTTGAGTAGCAATTGGAGACTTAGATCGGTTAGATTTCTTCTTCTTCTTGTTCTTACGAAACCCTCCACCGACCGGCACATTTCTAAGAGCGCCGCCGCGCGTCCAGTACCGCCGGCAGGTTTTACAAAAGTGTCTCGGCTGAGTAAGGCTGTAATTATTGAAATAACAGAATTTGGTGTTTGTAGAATCACAACGTGGGCATTTTAGTGCCATCTCCGGCTGTGGTACCATCGCCAATCTCGCTCGGTACGCCATAGAACCCGGTCGGGCTCCGCTGCCACGAGCCGCGGTAGGCTGAGGTGGTAGCATGAACGCCGGAAGTTGATGCTGATCATTTCCTTGTGGCTGATTTGACTGATTCATGAATAGAAATCCAAAACAAAACAAAACCCATTAAGCAAATTGATCACTAAACTCCAAATTGAACCCGAAAAACATACGAACACGAAAGATTTGAAAGAATTGAAAGGTTACCGGTGCCCAATTCGGCGGATCGACGAAGATTGGAAGAGAAGAATGAGCCATTTTCAATGAAAAAGAATGGATCTTTGAGAGCTAAAGGGAAGAGGAAAAAGGAAATTAAAGCCAAAGGCAAGAGGGGGAAGAGGGGAAACCCTTTAATCTCTCACAATTTTCTTTTGATATCTTTTTGTTTTTATTGTGAAGAAAAAAAATTAGGGTTTATGAGCAGAGGAAGTTTCGTGAAAGTGCAGTGAAAATACAGACCAGTAGTGATTTTCGAATGATTCGTGTAGAATTTAACTTAGATTACGTCACTGGTTGATAACAATCCCACATGAAGCATGATAGATTGAGCTAGCTCAACTTAATTCGAGACATGTATGAATAAAAAGATCCTTAAAAAAAGTTGTTTTTATCTATGACGATCTTGACGTAATTTAGATATATAATGATAGATGCTAAGTGGGGTTAGCTTGCAAAATCTAAACGGTAACATTTTATCCTACTTCCATAGGTAAACCCTAATTATTGATCCTAGATTGTAGAGTCACTTTTTTTTAATTATATAGGGCATGAGAAAATTTAGAGATATCGTGTTTTAATTAATGGATAAGCACGTAAATAAAAAAGTTATAGCTTTACTTTTTAACTAAAATTTATATATATATATATATATATATATATACCGTAACCGTTCAAGTCCACCGCTAGCAGATATTTTGTCCTCTTCAGGGTTTCCCTTTTAGATTTCCCTTAAGGTTTTTAAAACACATCAGCTAAGGAAATGTTTTTACACCCTTATAAAAGATGTTTTCTTCTCTTCTCCAACCGATGTGAGATCTCACAATCCACCATCTTCGAGACCCAGCGTACTCACTGACACTCGTTCCCTTCTCTCATCGATGTGGGATTATATATATAAATATATAAAAGAACCTTTAAGAATTGAAAAATAAAAATAAAAATAAATAAATAAATAAATGTGGGGCTTATTTGTCTTGTAGCTGTCTTTTAGACCCATTACAAAATGTCACTTTAAAATTGTGGATGGCAGATGCTTTGGTTCCTACCTCAATTAATTTCATCAAGAATAATTGCACCCAAGATTATCCATCTTTTTCAACTTTTTTTTTTATTTATTTTAATAATAATAAATAAATTTACTTATAGTGTATATATATATATATACACCATATCCAATTTGGGTAGGTAGTTGAGAGAAAAAAAAATTGCTTTTTATGGTCCAAACATTTTGAATGTGTTGGATACAATTTGTTCAATTATTTGTCTGTTTCTTAAGAAAGAAGGAAAAAAAAAAGCGTTTTTTCAACAAAACGAGAGAGAAGGAAAAAAAAACCCTAGTTTCGTAGGGAGCACGAGCATGTAGCTGCCTCTACAAAAGATCTCGGGATGGCATGATTCGGAGAATCGAGAAAAGAAAACGAGACAGAGTAGGTCCTTACCCATCAATCATTTATATGTAATTATTTCAACTCTATAATAAACAAAAAGCCTCTCACAATGATACGATGAAATATGTGTAGATTTATTATGTTTGTACGTTACTACATGTATTTTCACCTGACACGACTCTGTTGTGTGGACCGTAAAGGAAAAGGACAACTTTCCTCGCTCTTGCCATTACAATTACTAGCATCGCCAACATAATTTCACGGTAGGGATCGGGTTCACTTGCTTCATCTCATAATAATATAGTTATACGAAGGAAAGTAAGAGAGAGAAATAATAAGTTTTGGTTCATCACGTAATGCATGGGGTGGGGATGAGGTACCAAATAAAAAAAGAGTAGTGGCAGAGTGCGGTCCATCTTTCATGTTTTCTTTGACCATCCCACCAACACACTCAAATCTCGTTGGGGTCCGTATGATTTTAAAAGTTATCGTTTTTATTTGTATGATTGGAGTTTAGTTTCATTTTTTTAACGTCATAGTTAATCATATAAAAATTAACTAAAAGTTGCTTCGATCACGACATTAATCAGGGAAGAAGACCCAAATCATAGACGTTTTGACCACAAAATTGTTTTTCTAAGATAGTTGTGGCTATCCGAACCTTTGCAACCACTAACAAATTTCGTGAGGAGCACGGGAACCCAAAGTTCATGAATTTTCTAAAGAAGATTCGTGATGATTTTCATTGATGGAATTTCTTTTACCGGAATAGTTATAAAGAGTCTATTACATACATTGTAAATTTACGATGATACCCTTAATTGGACTAATTCTGCACTTTATGGGGTTAATGAACAAAATATTCAAAGACTATCTTGACTTGTTCGTGATGGTCCATTTTCGAGGACTCTTGTAAGGTAGGTTCTTGTATGATATCACAAGTCTAACGTAGCTACTTACAAATTTAGGAGTGCTCGTGACGTCGATTTTTGGGACAAATAACCATATTAAATGGGATTTAGAATATAATTATACGTAATTTTACTATAAATGAATAATTAAATAAAATATATTTGTAAGTAATTTTAATAAATCCAAAATCAAATGGTAACTGTGGTAAAAAAAAAGGGGGGTGAATTTAAAATTAGAAGAAAAAAATATGGGCCCGATGTTTCCTTCTGGCCCATTTGTCTCAACTCAGTCCATTTTGGGAGGTTGATCCAATTCT